GTTTTGTTGCGCTCGTGACGTGAACACACAGGGGGGAAATGCTGTGAAGTGCTTTTAGAAATATAATAAATATAAAATACGACGGAATCCTCGGTGAAAAATAGTCCAGGAAACGCGGGAGGTGTTCACCTGCAGCTGAGTGAAGCTGACCCCCCACCCACAGAGAAAGGAAAAAAGGCAGTAATTATTAAGGTTAAGGGCATGCTGTGGCTTCACCTGTCGCACTTTCTTTTAAAGAAAGAAAAAGTATCTTGCAAAGCTGTCGCATTGGTTCTACGTGATTAGAAGCAGAGTTTTCATTGCCATCTAATCGTCTTCCTATCTTTGTGGGGACCACACACAGCGCTCAGCCTTGCTCTGCACCGTCTTTTTCCCCAAGTTTGGCAAGAGGTGGGTATGGAGGGACGCAAAAAAATAGCTCTCGACTTGATCTGGCCTTATTTAAATAAAAATGACTACATGCCGTGAAATTCTTAGGGGGTGGCGTCTCGTTGGTGCGGGGGGGGCTGTGTAATGGTAGGGGAAACACTAATATGTTCAGCCTTTAAACATTTGCACTTAGAAATTTATAGAATCACTTTAAATACTTTTCAATAAGTTAAATGTCTACAATTCTGGTTCAAATAAAGAACTTCATATTTACTAGATTGTTAACCAAATTTCCCTCTGGGATCAATAAAGTATTTTTGAATTGAATTGAACTAATTATTTTCGAGTTAATATTGCCTTAATGAACAGTGATTAAAAAATAACCTGTAAAACTCTGATGTTAAATACGACTTGGTTGAAAATTTGGGTGCACCTAACTTTTGTGCTAGTGCACCTAAGAAAAAATGTTAGGCACACCAGTGCAACCAGTGCAAAAAGTTAGTCTAGAGCCCTGTGAAATATCCAAATCTGTCTCAAAATAAATAACAAATATATAATATATGTCATTTTTGCCATATTCCTTGTTTTTAGGTTAAAATGGTCTGTTGCAGTGGTCATTTGGCACTGTTAGGTGTGTTTTCACAATTATAGATGTCCAACAAAAAAGTTACACGAGTTTGAAAGAMAAACTATTCTAAAAACCAGGAAATATCTCTTTCAAAAAATGTGTCACTAACCTGTTTCCAGTTGTCAAAAATGATGACTTTGCTGTCCTCGTCATCCACTGTCACTGTGCACTCATAGCCCTCACCTGAAACCAGAAGTGCAGGTAACATCAGCAGAGCCTCAAACATCACCTTTGTAAAACTGTGTAYATACTGTGGCTGTAATGAGATGTAGGAAAGTATTTTTACATAGCAAAACTGGTGTAACTGTAATAAGAGTTGCTAAAATGAGGATTTGCAGCGTTAGAAACTTCATGAGTTAAAATGGGTCATTTTGTTTTTTACAGTTTGAATGATATCCACTAAAATGCAGATGTGTTTGTAGTTTAGCAGCATGACAACCCAGCAGCACAGAGAGATGATATAAAAAATGTCAACAACATAATTGATAGAACAGCATTTATTCTGGATCAAGAGCAAGATTGGTTCTACATATTTTGACAGGTTTTCTATTTACTGGTATGCTAAAAGAAACTGTATTTTCCAAGTGGAAAAAAAACTATTACCCCTTTTTTGTTTCTATCCAAATTAATCRAAAACATTCTCAGGGAGAACAAATTCAGTTTTTTGTTTTTGTATTAACCCAAAGCTTGCAGTCAAAACCAGTACTAGCAATAACTGTTCTGGCACAAGTCTGCTGTTCTACTTGCTCAAAAGTTGTAAAAATATTTGGAAAAAATGTAACTTGACAGGTGCTGAATACATTTTTTTACACTTATTTGGTAAATTATCACCTGAATGACATTTTGTAGTTTGCAAACATGTAAAATACTATGAGGTACGCTTTTATCTATCTCAGGGTTTCCCCCAGAATACCAGCTGAGTACAGTGGTAGGGCGGCTTTGGCAGCCCACCGGCTTTTAACATTTTTTTGTTAAAAAATGTTAAAAGTTGACAGGAAATTTGAAAATATGGCATAATGTAATTAGGTATGTGTTATTGTAAGACATTGAAGACATYCTGGACAATACCTCTACACTAAGTATAGCAGGGGTCATTCACGTTTTTTTGAAACTGAGAGCTACATCAGGGGCACTGAGTCACATGAAGGGGTACTTGTTTGATACAACCATCAATTTAAACAGCTCCCCTCTAATRATAATGTATTGTTACAAGCAAGTTTATTGTTAATTTTGTTTTGTTAAAAGTTCATTTTTTAAGTCTCAGTAAAATGCACTGTCACTTAAAGAAACACTTAAGGTTGTAACAGGAAGTTGTCACACAGGATGTAGAATGAGGTAATCAGTAAGTAAATGTGCATGCTGTATGTATTGATAGTTTATGATGTTCTTTACTATGTCAGGTCATTATTTGAAGGATAATGTTATTTGTGAGAACATATTTACTCCTGGTGAAATAACATTGCTAGTCTATTTTACATGGCTGATTCATGTGTTAAACCACTTTAGATAAAGTGAACTGATAAATAAAGATTATCACATGTTAGAGTGATCATAAACAGAAGTTAAAATGTAAATTTGTAAGGACAGCTGATGTCGATGTTAAAACAAAGTGATTTATTTTACTTCTAAAAGACACGTTCATGTAAAGTTAAAGGGATAAACAGAGTTGATTGTACTTTTATGTTTCAGTTTCAACGTCCTTGTAACGTCAATAAACCTGTGGACATCTGTCTACAGAGTCTTGATGTTAAGGAGGCGTTTAACTGACTGTCAAGCCATATAGAGCACATA